CACTTTCGTACTGAAAATACAGATAAACAGACTAAATGGCGCTTTATCGCGCGGCGGGGGAAGGAACTCTTCTCAAGGACACGCCAGAGGCAGGCGCCGGCGGGCTGAGACCCCTGGCGGTCCCGGGGTGTCCAGGATGCGGGAGTGGGGTGGGCGAGAGGAGCCCGGCGGGCCCCAGGGCGCCGGGGCGGGGACGCTGAGCTGCGGGAGGCGCGCGGGGCCGGGCCTCGGGGGGCCCCCGGACGCGCTTGGTGGGGACGCAGAGCCGGTCTCCCCCGCCCCGCTCCGGCGGGCGGGGCGTGGTGCCCGGCGTCCTACTCCGGGCCCGGCGCGGCGGGCGGCGCCCCCTGGTGGCCGCCTGCCACTCGGCCTCGCTCCCATGGCGCCCGCGAGGCGCGGCTCTGCAGACCCCAGCGCCGGCCCCGCGCCGCCTTTCGGTGGAAATGAGAGAAAAGGGCCCCGGACCACAGTCCGCTGTGCCTCAGGTTCCTCATGGGAAATGGTAGGATAATTACATCTCACTGGGCTTGTGGTGACGATTAAAGGTGCAAACGTATGTGAAGCTCTTAGGACAGAATGAGTGGGCGCTCAACACACCTGATCTATTGAAACGCTGGGCTGCAGGAGCCCTTCTGGAATCTCGGTGTGAATGGAGAGGAGGCTGGAGTCAAGGAGCCAGACGGGAATAGCGTGAAACCTGCCTCGGTCTTTCGCAGTGGGGGACCCAAGGGAGAACTCATCCGAACCCGCTGCTTCCTCTTCCGTAAGCTGGTGGTAGTGAGGTATAATGAGGGCTGAGGTTTAAACAAATGTTGGGCCCCGTCTGGGATCTCTGAGGTCACGTTTATGGAGCTGGTGTCTGTAGAAGGGGCTGCACGCTGATGGATCACAGATAAAGGAGAAGGGGGTGGAAACACACTGAAGGCCTGGATGGATGCCCCTTTAAATTACCTGCCCCGTTCTGCCCTGAGACTCAGACTTTCTGACTCCCAGCTCCAAGTCTGGAGTTCCAACAGGCTCAAGTAGGGAGAGAGAGGAGGTGGGAGGGGAAGAGAGGGGATAGAGCAGCTTCCACCCCGCGCTGGGCTGGGGCAGCCTTGGAGCTCTGGCCAAGAGGGAGGATGCAAATGGGTGGTTCCTCCAAGCACAAGACGTGGGGGCTCCCTGGGAGCATGCCAGGTGTGCTGGGGGTACCGAGAGGACCGCTCCCTGAGGGACGGCAGGGCCCACTCAGGAGCCCTTTCCCAGTGTAGACAGAGCCCTGGAGGGGACCTGAGCTAGAAGGACCTTCCTGGGATGGGTTGGCTGGGGCTCTGAGGTCCCCCTTCCAGGCCCAAGTGGGAAGAGGTGGGCGCTGACTCAGCCAGGACCAGGGGGCTCCACCACTCCTGGCCGCCCTCAAAACCCTCCAGGAACCGCTAAGCCCAGACACGACTGCCTCTCCAGAGATGACCCCTGCTCTCCTTCATGCACCCTGTGTCCAGTGAGTTCTCAGAACTCCCACAGGTTTTCCTGCTTCCTGATCTCTGCCTGGAATGTCTTTCCCTGCACCTTGGGGTCTCCTGAAATCTAGCCCATCCTGCAAGGATGGATCAAGCCCCTACTCTGATCTCTCAGCCGAATGAGCTCTCAGCACTTGTACCTAATTCTTGCTCTTAATTATGTGACCTTGGAGGTTAGGGATCATGTGTGTATCATCTTTTGTCCTCATCTACATCAGGTACTAAGTGAATAAAGGAAGGCACAAGTCACAACTGGGAGGGCCTCGTTTTCTCCATTTGTAGGGTAGAACTAGTCGTGCTGGCCTTTCAGGGCTGGTGGAAGCTCTGGGTGAGATTCCTGCACAGAGGATTGGCGCACCCCCTCTTCCTCCTCAGACCCCTTCTCTCTGGCTCCTCAGGCTCCCCGTTCCCTTGGCCATTTGCCCCAGAAAGTCTCTCCCATCTCAGGAGAACCCTTCCCTGACCCCGCAGCTCCCTCTGCCAATACTCCATCTGCTTCCTCTGAGCCAACCTTCCTGCCCACCTCCCCGTTCCTCGGCAAACTGCCTACGGGCTCAGCTTTGCCTGGAAATCACCTCCTCACCTTTGGGAACCCAGTACTGATGCTGCCTCCTTTGGAGAACTTCTTTTTGCTGGACCCCCTCCCCCAACACCTGATGCACTTAAGTGTCCCAGTGAGCACCTACCTCCATCCAGGTTCGCCCCAGTGGTGGAGGAGCCTAGCGCTTATCCATACCTGCTGTCTCTTCTGAGCTCACAAAAGGATTATCTTTCCCCATCCCTGTGGCAGTTAGGCAGGGACACTGACTAGTTCTGGCCAAGGGGCTGGGAGCAGAGGTGAAGCATGTTACTTCTGGGCCAAAACGTTTACTTACCAGCGCAAGACCTTCGAGGACTGCCTGGCCCTGCTTCATCCATCATGGCAGCATGTTATGAAGTGGAGGTACTGAGCCACCACTTGGAGGCCACTGCCCTGAGAGTCACCCAGAGCCACAGTAGACTAAGACTAAACTCCTGTTGTGTCATGTGACAGATTGGTGAGGTTTGCTACCCAGCGCAGCCAAGCCTATCCTGACTGAGTTTCCAGTTAAAGGAGTTTGTTAAATGAATGGATGGCTTTGTGAACTGTAAAGATCTGTGCACATTTTAGTTACTGTTATTGTCATCAAGCTGTAGCAGGTGCCTGGGATCAGGGACTTCAGCAAGCTGTGGTGACCCCTGTGTGGCACGGCAATGACACTGCGGGGGTGGGGTGGAGAGCGGATGAGTGGGTGAGCGGGCAGGGTGTATCTTGGGAGAAAAACTTTCTCTCACTTATGATTTGCCAAGGGCTTGCCCACGACCTGTTTACATATTTAATCTCTGGTTAAAGGTTATAATGAATTCTGTGCTGTTGGCAGGAGATGGACATTTCTCCCAGCTATTTAGTTCTTGTGGTTGTAAAAGATAGTATTTCTCTCTTGGATTCACAGAGTTTTTATTTTTGTTTTTTCTTTCTCTCTTCCTCGCTCTCTGTCTCTGTCTCTGTCTCTCTCACACCCGCGCGCGCGCACACACACACACACACACACACACAGCCCCTGGGAATCTGTAATATAATATTTTAATATTAATTTGATAGTGACTGGATTCACCCCCAGATTAAATGTATCTCTTCATCTTTGAACGCAGCTGGAGAAAATCACAACGTGGCTTTGTTTCCTAAGCGAGACTCTGCTAACCCGTCACCAGGTGGGCGTGTCTCCTTGAAGGTCTGTCTGTGTGCAGCTCTCTCAAGGCCTTTTCTCCTAAAAGCCTTTTCCTCTTTGTCCCTTTTCTCCGTGACTCTCCTTTAACTTCTGGTGCTATAGGGCTGACGTGGCCCTGGTTAATGAACAGTTGTAACGTTCATTACTTGAAAAGCAGGTGGTAAGTGAAATATTACCTGGTTCTCTCCACCTCCGTTACCTACCTTGCTTGGCCCTCAGTAGATTCCCCCGCCTCCATCCCATGGGCTAGTGAACTTCCGAGGGAACAGACTGACTCAGTAGGGGAGCTGGAGCAGACAGAGAGGTCTGGACAGCCTGGTTTGAGTCCAGATCCGGCCAGTTATTATTTGCATAAACTTGACTACACGGTCACTTCCTTGATTTCAGATTCCTCATCTTCAAATGGAGCCTTAAGACCAGTCTGGCCTCCAACATGGGGCTATGGTAAGGATCACCCCAAAGGGCTGTGGGCCAAAGGATGATTTATGGAGATGTGGCATTTAATTCTCACTGCATTTTCCCTCTCCTGTGCCAAAAAGGCTCAAGGAAGGATGGGATAAAAAGGTTCCTGCATACCCTTCCTTTCCTGGCTTTTTCATTCAGCCCCCGAGGGGCTGGGAGAGGGAGTGGAGCAGAGGGGTGGGCTTCCTAGGACTGGTTGGGGGGATGGGGAGCATCATTGCGGGTACACAGGACCTTAGTCTTGGGATCTGGCCTCTTCAGGGTTTCCAGGCTCAGGGAAGAAGCAGGGCTTCTAGGAGGCCTCAGACTGGGAAGGGACCAAAGACCCACAGTGGCAGGACCCAAGGACATGCAGATGGCTCTGAGAGCCAAACACAAGGCTGGTTGAGGTTGAATTTCCGGCCAGTCAGCAGCATGAGGGCCTGAAGTCAGACACAACCAATATGAAGAAATGACAGTGACACATTTTGCACTCTCAAGCTTGTAGAGGGAGAGTTCCACCCTTAGGACTGGTAGAACCCAATATAAATGTGGGCTCTTGCATTGTTTTCCATGTCCACTAGCCCCTGACTGGAGCCTTCTCCTCCTCCGGCCACCTTTGAGCTGACCACAGGCCCAGTGTGGGTCCGTGTCTCAGTGGTCTAAGCATAAGTGGACATCCTTGAGGCCCTGATGACCCACCACACAGGGTCTAACAAGCCACATCAGCCTCACACGAGGGGCCAGTTAAAAATGCCACTCCTGGGCCCCCTTCAGCCCCATATAAAGGGCCTCTGGGGCTGGGTGGAGAGGGTTGGGAATCTGCATTTTAACAACACACTCTATGAGCGTCCAACACTCAAGGAAGCTTGTTAAGCTTTGCACCGGAAGTGAAATGAAGGTGACACCATTATAGTCCCAGCTGGCAGGTTTGCTGTGGGCCAGTTGTACTGGCTGTGACCAAGTGATCGGTGATGATTACGATATTAGTTCTCTTTTGTGTCATGGACTTAGCTGTCCATGTCCAACCCCACTTCTGCATATAAACTCAAGGGCAGGGATCAGGGCTCCTGAGAGCCCAGTACTGTGGGGTCTTGACAGTCACCTGCTCTCAGAGATTCACTGAAGGGACAAGAAGTACCTGCTGCTGCTCTGTACCAGGATGATGGGTTAGAGTGGCATCACCTCCTATCCCCATGGCCTTGGGCCCCCAAGGGTTGGGGCAGGGGCAGCTCCTCTGGCCAGAAGGTATAGGTTCTGTCTGCTCTCTAGCCAATATACATGACAGTACAAATTCATCCAAATTATATCAACAGCAGAATTATAATATATTAATAGCAATATCATAATAGAAAAAAGGCTTGGGAGGGCAACCATCTTCCAGAATCTGAAGGTTGGCATTCATTCTTCATGAGCTCAGCTGAAGGTAGTGCCTTCAGAATTTGGTTAAATGGCAGCGAGAAGGACCAGGGTTAGTTGCAGGAAATCATTTTCCAAGCAGGTCATTTAAGGGCCTGAGGTTGCATGGAGCCTCCCTTCCAGAGTGAGATCTGTGGAAATAGAGCTGGTGGCTTTGGAATCAGGCTGTCTGCGACAGTGGCTTTCACAAAGACTTCGGTCCCATGGCAGTGTGGCCGTTGACATTCCACCATATGAGGCCTTTCTGGAGGTGGCTTCTGGACGGGTCTTCCAAGAGCAGTGGCACTCAAGAGATCTGCATGTGGCCACGACCAACGTCCAGCTGCTCCAGAGGACATGGCGAGTCAGCTCCCTGTTTGGTAAAGGCCAGGAGCGGGCTCAGTCCAATGGGGCGTGGACGGTCAAGGTCTTGTTGACAATCTCCGGGTTCTTGCTTGTGCAGCCCCAGCCCTGCCCAGTGAGCCCACTCTGGGAGGAGGCCTTAGTGTAGATGGAGGGCGGGGAAGCTCCGGGAGAACCACGCGCCAGCGCCGCCTTGCACAAGGTCGGTCTCCAATAAATAAAATACTTGTGGATGAAAGGCCTCCCTTGCTGGTTTCTGACTCTGAACCTGCACCCACAGCAGCAGCGCCTCTCAGCCCAAGCCCGGAGAAGGCGCTCACCCCTCTGGAGGCGGTGAGAAGAGGCTGAGAAAATGCTGATGAGTGTGTTCAGGACCAGGAGAGTCAACCTCTCGGGCCTCTACTTTGTGGGCTGCAGACGGCCGTGCAGCCTGGCAGCTTTTGACATTCCCTGGGCTTCATCACCTGTTTTGCGGACATCCCTGATGGCCTCCCTTTACTCCGCGACACACAGGCTAAAGTCCAGACGAGGGAGCCCCTGTGAAGACACCTCATCTGAGCCTGGGGAGGCTTGTGGGGGAGGGGTTCTTCCCACCACTCTGAGATGACGAGTCCTGTCCTCACACCGTGGAGTGGGGCCTGGGCATCACGGCTATCCACAGCCGGCCGCAGGTCTTCACCACAGCGTGGCATTCTTAGTTCGAGATATACCCCCAGAAAGACAGAGATAAACATGCACAGACCCGTGTACGGAAGGGCCTAGAGTTAACGTGAACGGCATTTGGATGGCCCATCCTTGGGTGTCAGCCCCAGCTCTGGCGCCTGAGCGTGGGTAACTGAGAGGGGAACAGCTGGCTGTACTTCCCAACGGGGAAGCTTCCAAAGTGGCCTCTCGGGGCAGGAAGTGAGGATCTGAGGGGAAGGGAGCCAGCCCCTCTGGGTTCTGTGCTGGTACCGAACCCGGAGGCAGAGGGGGCTGCAGCCAGCCTCCCCCTCCCCTAGCCTGGTTCTGGCCAGTAAGAGCTCAGCCCTCCCTTCTTCCTCTGGGCAGATACCCAGAGGTCTCTCCGCCTGGGAAACCACCCACTACGGGGCTGGGGGTGCAGAGCTGCCTCAGTGAGCATCCCTACTGCGCAGGATGAGCCTGGGCCTCTGGGGGCCCCTCCCAAGGGGCCAGGGAAGACCCAGCCCACCAGCTCTGTGCCCCCCCCCCGGCCCAGGTGCACAGCAGCCCCAAGGGACCCTGGGGTGCTCTGGGAGGCGGGGACAGGGAAGGCAAATGGTGGTGGGGTTTTCTCTCTTATTTAAGAAATGAAAAGGAGATGCCGTGTTAACGTTAGTAAATGTGGGCAGGTGCGGGGCAGGGTCCGTTCTCGAGAGCAGAGCGGCGGCCGAGGTCGCCTGTCAGATGAGGCTGGCGGCCTTCTCCTGCACGTTGTACTCCTTGTTTTTCTTCACCCGCCAGCTGATGTAGAGGAGCAGCAGCGTGCCCAGAGCCTTGTAGCCCACCTGCAGGCCCAGGTACCTGTGGGGCAGGAGACAGGCCCTGTGAGGGATGTGGAGGCTCTGTGGGCAGCATCACAGTGGCCCGGGCCAGGTGTCCTCAAGGCAGGATCCGGGCCCACCCAGGTGGGGCCGCTCTCCTCATTCCTTTTAACCCCAGGACCACAGGCCTCGCAAGGAGTAGGCGGGGAGTAGATGTGGGACTCCCAGTCCACTGCTTCTCGTCCCTGCCCTGGCGACCCCTGGAGGGCCAGAGAAACACTGCAGACCCAGCCGACTGGAGGGTCCTGCTGCCCAGCACAGCCAGGAGGGGGCACCTTCCCGTTGCCTCTTGGTCTGCCCCTCTCCAGGCCTTCTATGCCACTCCCACGCCGTTTCCAGATCCCGTCCTGCCCCCTGAAGCCCACTCTCCCTGCTGTTTCTGTCTGTGTGATGAGGCAGCAGGTGAGGTGGCTGGAAGAGGTGCCAAACTCAGTGGTGCTGCAGCTGGGTGCCGCCTGCCCTTGGCCTCTGCCAGGAGCCGTGACGGGCCACCTCTTTCTGAGCAGTGGGAGGCTGGCCTGGCATCATCATCCCACAGCCACGGCCTCTCCCTTTGAAAAACCTTTCTGCTGCTGTTCCCACCCCCCGAGGGCCAGTGGGGACCGCAGAAGGGGGGCCACAACAGAGCAGCCCCTGAGTCTTGGACGGCTCTCTGTGGGCCCTGAAATGCCAGTCACCAGTGGCCCTGCTCCCTGCCCAAGGCAGCTCCCCTCCTGCCCTCTCCCTCGGAGGCCTGAGAGCCTCACAGTTGCCACCGGAGCAGATGACGGCCTCTGCTTGGGCCTGGGGCCTGGCACGTCGTGCGGGCCCTCACCTGTCTCGGAGAGCGTCGTTGTCGTAGTAGATGCAGGCCCCTCGCCTTCCAGAGCACTGCGCGCCCCAGCGGATGCAGGAGTAGTCGATGGTGAGGCCGTAGAGGGCTGGAGACGGCAGCCAGGCTGGCATCAGTGGGAAGAGAGTTCAGAGAGCTCAGGTCACGTGGAGCTGCCAGGAGAGGCACCCGGCAGGGTGGGGAGCGAGCCCCCCAGCACCCCTGCACAGCTCACGGGCATGAGCACGGCTCTGCCCCACCCTGGGAACCACCGTGACTTTGGAAAGCAGAAGAGCTTTCCATGAAGCCTGAATTACTCTTTCACCAGAGGCTTAGAAGAGAAAAGGGGCCTGAGCCATCCTTCCAGGGCAGAGTGAGTCGCAGATGTCACTGTGGGCCTGCTCAGACAGATACCATAGTTCCCACACTTGGGGTTGCTAGGCTCCACTGGGTGGCAGGAGGCTCTCAAGGACACCAACTCCTCGGGTCCTCGCAGCAGCCCGGAGGTGGGTGGGTGTCCTCATTTAACGGGGAGGAAGGTGGGCTTGGCTGGCTCACCTTTGCATAGGCAAGCGGGGTTAGGGCTGGACTTTGCACCCTAGTTTTTGGAGGTTCAGATCCCACATTCTTCCACTACACGAAGCTGCCCTGCTGGTTTAGACAACACCCCCAGCAGACCCCCAATACCCTGGCTGCTCAGAACCTCCCAGGCCCCCTGAACTTCCCCACAGCTGAGTGGCGAGAACTGGTCCGTCAGGGGCCATGCCCTACGGCTGCTGGATATTCGGATGAGCCCCGCATCCTTAGCTACAGTTCCAGGCAGTCACTGGACTGGGGAAGGGCTCGGCCGGATCCACACCTGGGCCAGGCCACCCCATTCTCAGAACCACTCTGAACAGCCTCTCAGACTGTTTTGGGCCCTGTGGGAAGCTGCTTCTGGAGGAAAGAAAAAGGCAATCTTCTGCTTCTGGCTCTGCCCAGAGGTGGGAACCTTCAAGAACCAGCCTCTCTATTCAGACCTGTTGGCTCCCAAATCTCCAGGTGAACAGGGGATGGAAACTGGACACAAGGACCGACCTTCCTGAATGCTGGTCCCTGAATAGAAATAAAGTCCAGAAAAATTTTCAGCCAAGTCCCAGTGGGTAATTTGAAACTTGCCAAGTCCTTTTTTCTACCCAGGGTGGAATTGCCTTCTCAGGTGATGAATGGATCCCTCCAGCCTGGGTTTTCTATCTGTGGTGGCCACACTGAGTTATCTGAGCTCAAATGACAAAACAAAGGCAGCAGGTGCTTTGAGCCTCAGGAGAGGGGCTGTTTTCACCGTGGCTGGAAGAAGCAGGGCAGGGCTCTCCAGAGCCCATCCTGGCTGCTGTTGGGCTGGGCGGAATGTAAGGTTTCCTTCCCAGTGGAGGTTTCAGAGCAAGTTATAAATGGAAAGGCACTGTGGTGACGAACATACCTCTGCCACCAGGACAGGATAGATCCCAGTGTCCTGTGTCCTTTGTGCTTGTAATATAGGCCAGAGGAGCAGAGTCTGAAGGGGGGCTTCTGGGGCGAGAGGAGCAAGTGGCCAGACACCGAGAAATCCCACTGAAAAAACTGATTCACTCCTCATCACCCCACACCTCCCCCAGATTTGGTCAGAGAGGGCCTCCTGCTCAGCAGGCCCAGGAGAGACATCACCCACACACCCCAGTGTGATCGTGGAAGCTGCTACGGGGTGAAGTGCAGATCAGACTCCCAGATAATAATGCACCATGCGCTCTGCAGGGATTTCAGCGTTTAAGGTCAGAAAGTGCACCCTGATCACAGATGAAGTCCCTCCACTACAGTCACCGTATTCCCACTGCGGTGCATGCCCCCGGGTCCTCAATAAATCTGTCATTTTATCTGGTCCCTTTACTTAGTGTGAATCCGTCCTGGAATCAGTCCCTTTACTTAGTGTACCTTCACTGCAAGGGTCTCCATATTAGTGCCCTGTGTTTATCTAGTGCTTGGAGGTGTCCAGAAGGGACAGTCCAGCGTGAGCAGTCTGGGAAAGGACCTGCAGGGCAAGCTGGGTGTTCCCTGATGCCTGCAGGCAGCTCGTCCTCCTGTAGCCAGTCCTGATTGCTGTGCCCAGTTCCCTTCCTCCTGGGTTCTGGGCTGCCTGAGAGCAGGCAGGGTTGGTCAGCAGAGGGCCCCACTTTGCTAAATAGAGGTAGGAGGAGTGTATTTTGTCAAATGGAAAGGAAGCCAGGGCTGGGCTCCGCTGCCCTTCTGCTTGGGACAGGAGCACGAGGTTTTGTTCCTACAGCGAATTCTTGGAGAGAGATGAAAAAATACCTGCCTTCAATGTTCTATTAGGCATTCTCAGCTGCGTCCACTTTTCCTTTTTCTTACATACTTTCATTTGGTGTTAATGCCATAGATGGAATCTTTCCTAACCTCAAGTGATGGGGAAACCGCCCATGTGGGATTTGGCATTTACTGTTGTGTTGATTGTGTACAGCTTCTCTTTACGACAGAGATGAGACGGGGCTTTCCCCCTCCCCACCCTGCACCCCACAGCCCTCTGATTCCCCGTCATCTGGGGCCACGAGGAGGGGGGCATCTCTGACACTTACCCAGCAGACGCATCAGCAAGAACTGTACTCCGATGGCAAATGACTTTTCCTCCTGGTTCACCACGCTGAAAAGGCACACAGGAAATCAGCAGTGGGAGGACTCAGGGCTGTGCCTTCCCCCCACCGGGGCAGCCACAGCCTCAGGGCGCGTCGGAACCTGCCCTCACGTGGCCTGGCTGGGTTCCCCGAGCTCCCGTTGCTCCTCTCAGTGGTTCGCAAAGCATGATCACTGGACCAGCAGCGTCAGTATCCCCTGGGAACTTATTTGCAAGGCAGATTCTCAGGCCTTGCCTCAGAAGAAGAGTCAGACACTCTGGGGATGGGGCCCAGCGATCTGTGTTGGAAGAAGCCCTCCAAGAGATTCTGTGCACACTCAGGTTTGAGAACCACTGGTCTCTGTGATTTTCTGGGCTGCCCACAGCCCCCTTCAAGAAGCAAAGGGCAGAGTGTCTGGGAGCGGAGAGGATACTGAAGGCTGTGTTTATGGCTGCAGGTCTGAACAGCTCCTGTGGTGTTTACAGCAATAGAAGACAGCCCTGATACTAAGTGTAATTAGGGCCCCTGGGCTGTCGGCTCCTGTGTGCAACTAAAAGAATCCTCTACTTTGGGCCGGCTTCGTGGGCATGCGACCTGTGTGGCCTCACAGGGCCCCACCCTCAGAAAGGTCCCGTGTTTGCTTTAGTGCTCTGCTGTGGCTGGCTTGAAATTCTTAATAATTTTCAAACCAGGAGCCTTGCGTTTCCATTTTGCACTGGGTCCTGGAAGTTATGCAGCCAGTCGTGCTCCCACCCTTCTTCTCTAAAGAGGAGAGAAGTGCTTGGCTGAGGAAGGACGTTCAGAGAGAGAGGAGGCAGGCTGTCTGGAGGAGGTACCGCCAGGCCCTGTCATCCCGGCTGGGCGTGGAGCAGAGCGAGGACACGCCCTTCCACGAGGTGGGGGGCCAGGGGCGGGCCAGCCGGGGCACCAGGCTTCCCTGTGCCCTGAGTGCACGCACTCCTGAGCGGGAGTTGGCTGGGGGAAAGCATTCGGGGGCTGAGGGGCCAGCAAGGGAGGGAACTCAGAAGTAATCCCCAGGTCTCTGCACACGTTTTGTTTTACCTCCATAGTTCTGCTAGCAAACTGGAAAGGGACCTTCTTTCAGCTTCTCAGAATACCCACTGGGGTGAAGCAGCGGGGAGGCACCCACTGGGATCCCCCAAGTGGGAAGTGCCTCAAATCTCAACCTCATGGACACTCCCTTAATTGCCCATAGATGCCTTCAGTGGTCCGATCCATAGGAGAAGCTTCCGTGTCTTGGTCCTTATCCCTGGGCAGACTCCTCTGGATTCTCAGCCAGATGGGACTTGGGAACCCCAGTTTGGCTTCTGATAGAGATTTTGAGTTCCTTGTACTCTCTGCCCCTTCAGCCCCGAATTAACGCTGGCTCTCTGACCTCTCTTTCCTGATACATTTTCGGCAAACCTTCACTCCCAGCCTGTATTTCCATGCCTGGCTGGAGGCCACGACTGATACAAATAAGGTTTGGGTCACCTACAATGCCATCGTTAAGCCTCACCTTCTCCATACGACACAGCATCCATTCTTTCATCTTTCCCAGTGGGATTTATCTTTAAATCATTTTGGGATACTGGGGCCTCTTCTCCAATTTCACTCCAGCCCTTGACCAGAGATTTTCTAGAAAAGCCCACCCTGTGGTTGAAATGGTGCTTTGCCTCCACTACTTCCCCATCCCTGGGGCTTGACAGCCCTCTGGGAGGTGATCTAACAGGGATGCCCTTCTCCGCTGCTCAGGGACTTCCTTATCCTATTCCCTCTCCTCGTCATGGCCACCCACACACCTTTCTCAGGATCCCTGGGTCCACCATGGTCCATCTGACTTGGGGTGTAAGAAGGGAAGCCCACTCAGGGGCCTTGGGTGAAAGCACGGGTACTTGGAATGCATGGATGGGGAGCAGTGGAGGAGAGGGTGGTGCTGGGAGGCAAGGTGCTCCCAGCGTCCCTACACAGTCTTGCGGAGTATGCTAAGAATGCAAGGTCCTGACTGTTCGCTTCGTGGGCCATTTCCCAGGGTTGTGGCTGCAACGAGCATCCTTGAGGCATGAGGTAAAATCTTCTAGACCAGCAGCAGGCTTGGTCTATATAAGCAGTGGCTCTCCCAAACTCAGTGTTCCTTAGCTGTGACCTACACCCACTGCAGGCGAAACATACACCTGAGCCCCTCCACGTCACCCAGTAGGACTTGGGGGGCATGGATAAATGATGCAGCATGAGGTTCACACTGCTTGCTGTGCTGTGAGCAGCAAAGTCCTTTGGCTTTGACCCGGGAGTCTCCCAGCCTCTGCCAGCATCCTTGTGGAACAGTAACAGAAACAGGAGCTTGGTAGTTTGCAAGCTAACTTGTAAATAAGGTAAAATCCCAGACCCTTCCTCATCTCCTAGTCTTCTGGGGAAACTAGCCACCTAGCTAGCTGATAATAGTAATAGCAATAACAATAATTTGGTTAATAGTGATAATTAACTAATATGCAGAGCACCTTGTATTTACAAAGCAATTTACCATATAACCCTGACACCAATCCTTCGAGGTCAATATCATTAACCCCCTTTCATCCGCGAGGAAACTGAGACTCGGTGAGATGGGCAACACCCAAGGACTTTCAGCCAGTACATGGCAGAAGTGGGCCTTTGACCCTGGCCCTGGGCTTCCAGATCCTGTGTTTTTCCCTCTCTGCTTGCCAGACGGATGAGGACACGAGGGAGGCAGGCAGGGGGTGAATTATGCCCACTTGGTTGAAACCTTATTTTCTCCTTCGCCGAGGGTGAGGTGAAGGGAGGTCATTCCCTGTCCACACCTCAGGGGCACCTCAGTGCTGCTGTAACAGGATACCTCTGTCCTCCCCTCCCACCTGGCCGGCCCCTCCCTTCTGACCTGGCTCCTAGCACACTGCGCTTTTCTCATTTCCATCCTTTCCGTGGCCCTCATTCTGTCTCTGGAACTTTCCTCATTTTCCTTCCCCGATTTTATGTATCCAACTGAATTCTCCTCCACCCTCTCAGTTCTTTTAGGACTTGAAGATAAATGAGTCTACAGATGTGCAATCAGGCGGCCTGGCTTGGCCACGTGGCTCAGCCGTCAGGCTCTGCCCTCCCTGTGCGGGATGGAGGCACAGGGATCCCGTGAGACACGGAGTGAGGCTGCAGCGAGGGACTCCCAACAAGCCCGGCACAGAAGCCCCCGCCACTGGCGCACCAGCATTATCTCCCTGTATCACCCCAAGAACGTCCAAGGACACTGAGGGGCACGAAAGGCAGGAGAGCTGAGAAGGGGGCAGCTGGGCACGAAGTGAGGGAAGCGTGGGGAAGGAGAAGCACACTCACCGCAGCACCATCATGTAGAGAGGGTTGTGGGAGATGCAGGCTATGAGCGCCACAAAGGAGATGAGGAAGATGGCCGGGAGCAGGAAGTGGGCGCAGGGGATGGGGCACGGGCCCGTCTTTGCTGAAGCGGATCCTCCTCTCACGCAGCTGCAGTTCGAGTAGGTCTTGGAAGGAGAGGGAGGGGAACGGGGGAAACCTGCTGTCATTATTTCGACTCCACATACTTTTAAATGCCTGCTCCAGCTCTCGCTCCTCTGCCCTCCCTGGGGAGCTGGTGATGCTGGATGCAGAGGTTGGACGGGAGACCAGGTGGGGGTTTCAGGTGCCCCATGGATACTGCCTCTGACCACTATTTGGGCAACAGAAACCATCTTCACCAAAACCAGTTGTGCAGCGTGGGCTGGGCTCTTCCCGCAGTTACACCCGCATCAGGATATGTAGGATTCCACTGCCAGGCACTGCCCACCCAGTGGGGACCGGGGCCTGGGAGGGCCCTCCTCTGGAGCAGCAGTGGTTTTGTGGGTTGCTGTTTTTGCTGTTTGTGTGTTTACTGCAGGGACATTAAAGGAAGATAAAAATAGGGGGAGATAGCAGTGGGAACCCAGAGGAATCTACTGTACTTTCTGCCTGAGAGAAATTCTTCCTGTCTGCAAAGGTCTCTGTCTCAAGTCTGCGAATCCATACGGCTCAACACTGTTGTATAGCTCTCCTTGGTGGCCACTGCCTGTCAGGTGGCCTTCACCTTTTCTCTCACATTGTCTGATAGACCAGCCTATGGTCCAATTACTGTAAGTGTCAAAGCAGTTATAGGGGCAAGATTAGAACTAATGAACTGGTATGCTTCCTTCTACCAGGCATTGGAACTATGTACTCTTTTTACTTTGGCTGCTAGGAAGCTCATAATTAAGTTATATACAGTGTTGCTGCTACCTCCTTCAGTCTGGATTTTTTTAAACATAGATACTTTTCCTTATAATTTGCTATTTTTTCTTGATATTATGCTAATGGATTTTGGTCTTGATGTGCTTGTGCTGTCACTGGAAACCTGTCAAGATTATTTCTGGAAATAGATGAGTCAGAGGTAAGTAAATAAAGATAAGAAAACCACAGAAGCCACCACAGGCTCCTCCAACTAGAAGGCAACTGAGAGAGTAACTTGTCCAAGTTCTTTGTCCTCCTGCTGCCTGAGAACCACGCTCCTCTGTCCGCAGAGCTGGCTGTGGAAGCAGCCTTGTCCTGTCCTCTCAGGGGAGGATGGTAAATGGGTCTAGCCTTGCCTGTGCCCTCCACACAGGCTTAAAGGAATAAGATGCATCCTCTCCTTAGGGCATCCTCAGGGGAACTGCACAGACTTCCCAGTGCTCTTAGGAAAAAGAACATCCAAATCCTAACCTGACCCCTGCCGGCTCCCTGGCTGAGCTGGGTATGACTCTTCTCCTCACTCCCTGGCAGCCCTGGCCTTCTCTCTTTTCTCCTGTGCCAGCTCATTCATGCCCTGGGGCCTTGCAGCTGCGTTCACTCTGTTCGTTTCACTCCCAGGTCTTCATAGTGTTTTCTTCTTCTGGTGGTTCAGTTCTCATGTCACCTCCTCAGGGAGGCCCCCAGGCATTCTCTGTCCCATTAAGTCTCTTCATGGCATGGGTTACTTTCTAAAACTCCCTTGTGCATTTATTTGGTAGAATACAAACTCATGAGGGCAGGGACCTAGGCTGATGGGTTCCCCCCTGAATACTTAGCACCCGCGGCTGTGTCTGGTGTTTACTAAGTATTTGCTGAATAACCGCACAAACGACTGGACTTGGTTTGCTGCTGTCTGGTCCTGGGAGGCTGGGAGCCGTAGTGCTCTGAGGGCTGGCCAGGACCTCACCAAGTTAGCCTGGTGAGTGTGGGCTACCTGAGTGGGAGGCTGTGGCCGGGAGATACCTGGCCTTGCACAGACATGCCCCAGGCTGAGGCAGCACCCTGAGTTCTAGTCTCAGATCTGCTCCTAAATAGCTGCAGACTTCAAGCCAGTTGTGTGGCCATAGGTGAGTGTCGAGAGGGATTGAACCAAATGACCTCTATCACCACTTCTGGCTCTAAGCTTCCAGGTCCACATCACAGAGGCCCTCTGCCCTCGATTTATCTGGGCCAGTCCATGTGGCCTTGCAACACTGCCAGGACGCAGACAGGCCCATCAGGATCCTTCAGGGTGAGACTGGCAGTCCTCAGCTGAAGGAATGCTCTGGCTTGTTTCTGCTCTGAGCATTGTTAGGCCTCAGGAATGTGAATTTGTTGGACATCGGCCAACCTTTAATTGACTTTAGGCTGTAGACATCTGGTCATGACCCTAGGGAAGGGGAGGTGGAGAGAGGGTGGGTGTGGCCCAGAGGCCAGGATGCTGGGAATGAGTGGGGTGGAGCCCTGCCCATCCCGAGTGGAGGAGCAAGCTGCAGGGGCACATACTCGGCAGTGGCCCGGGGCCCCTCCGGCCCTTACCGGTTGCTTGGAGACTATAGAGCTGACGTTGATTTCACTGCAGCCAGCATGGCAAGGGGAGAGGTACTCAACCCCATCGTCTCCACAGACCGGGTGGAAGATGGAATCTGGGCACGAGCAGTCCCTGCGGCAGGCGGGAGGCTGTGGATGTATAGAACTTGATGTGCTGCCAGCAAAACGGGAAATGGGAATCAAACAAAGCAAGACCAAAGGAAAACCTCTCCACTCCAGCCCAGCGTGAGTTCCCCGCCGGGTTAGTGTGCCTGTGCGTCTCTGTTTGTCTTGGGCCAGCGCCACCCAGGGATCTGAATTATGTCTATTGGAGCCAACAGTGAATTTGGCCAGTGCTCGTGGCACCTCTACTTCTTCTGCTAGTAGGATCCCAAACTACTAGTCGTTGGAAATGCTTGGTTGGCAAATCCCCCACTTTGGAAGGGGTCGAGACAGCCAACCAGTCAGGACTCTGATGAGAGAGGTGGCAGATGCTATGGGAGAGTCACAGGCAATAATTTCCCTTCCCTTCGCTTTCATCTGAGCTCGGGCTGAGGCCCCTTGAGGCAATCCAGGGTCTAGATGGCTCCCGTCTCTGGGTCTATGTAGCCATCACCCAGGTCACTCCATTCCCCTGAGCTTCAACCAAGCGATTTCACTGGCTGATCTCACCAATCTTACCGTATCTGATATTCCTGATCTTCTTAGGGGAGGGTCGGGATTGGGGCTGATAAACCAAGGTTCAGAGCTTTGCTAAAATAATTACACTAATCCTAGTTAATGGGCATCCCTCATGCTCCAGGCACTGTGCCTGAGGGCTTTTCATGCGTGCCAGCCATCGCAGTATTAGTGGTGCTCCTTTTGTGGATGAGGAACCTGAAGATTAGATAAGTTAAGTAACTTTCCCCAACCAGTAAAGAACAGTGCCAGAACTAGGACCTGATCTGATGACAAAGCCCCGTGCTAAACTCCCAGGGAAAGCCTTCTTGGTCTCTCTCAATCCACAGCCAGAAGACCAGGACAAACCGGTGGGTGGGGGGGGGGGTCCCATCCTGAGTGATACTCCCTTCCCTCATACCCACCAGAGACAGGAGAGTTTCTTTCAAAGAGAAAGAGAAAACACCAAGGCTGAAAAGTATGGTATCTCCAAGTATTGCAACCTCACCGGGCAAAATCTTAAAGAAGAGCTGTTGCAAGGTGGCTCCCGGGAAAAAAGTGACGGCTCCTTGCTCAGCACACTCCCTCATGGGCCTCAAAGCCCTTCCTGAACATGAAGCCAGACTTAGAACTTAAAACCATGTTGCTTTATGCAAACCGACAGGTATGCTTTACCTGCCCTCTTCCTCACCTGCCCTAGTTTTTCAAGTCTGCCATCACCTTCCTTGTTCTTTCTCAGACCTTTGCAGGTCTCCGTCTCTCATCTTTCTCTGGCAGCTCCATAAGACTCTGTAATTTTAGCCGGTACAGAGTGGATGCTAAAGGTAGACAGTTCCTGGTTTCTGAGGCTCACAGCACTACAGATTCATCCTGAAACCAAACTAATTAGTTTTGGGTGCTTCTTAAAAAACCGAACCCTAACCTGATTGCTGGTGCCCCACTAGGACCCTCTGATTTCCTCTCATAATTGAGCACACTACCCAAGATCTGGTTTTCTCAGTTGCCACATAAGAGATTAGATCAACAAGGGAAAAGGAGAGAGGATAGTTGAAGAAGCAGAAAGGAAGACGTGTGGCAGCCACAGACAGGCTCTGGCCCCGGCCTCATTCCCACTACCTGCGGGGGTTGACCTCTGCCACGACTGGTGTGGAGCAGCCCATGAAGAACAGAGGGGCACAGAGGATCATGGAGATGGTGATGATGGTGGCAGCCACGCGGGGAATGGTTTGCAGAGAGAAAACAAAACGCTTCATGAGGATTCCTCCAAACAGCATCCCCAAGGCCGCAGCAGGGAGGTTCACAGCACCTACAGACGGAGAGAAGCTGGTCTGGGTGCACAGGCCTCGCAGTGTGTGTGGGCCGCACACTGAGCTGGACCACAGAGAAGGGGGCATGGCTTCCTGAAGCGACATTCAATATGATTAATTGCAATAGTAATAAACGACATTAATTGAGCATTTACTGCAGAGTTATCTTGACATGGCAGACTGCCCTGCCTGTGCCAAGAATAAAGAAAGAAGTGGGGCCCTTGCAGCCAGAGGGATGTGGGTTGAATGTGCACTTATTAAGCGCCTTTCATTACCTGGCCCGTCCTTGAACTATGATCACATGGGGTTAGCAAGGCACTGGTGGCGCCCCCTGCCTGATGTGCTAGTCAGAGGCCAAAGGCTAGAGGCGTGAAGTCACAGCCAAGAGCCACACAGGAGGTCAGGGGTCACGCCCTGACCACCTTGCCACTTCCACATGGTCAAGCTCACCTGTGAATTGGGCCCCATAACTCCCTTGGGTACTTGGTGGGACCACATCAGTGCTTCTCACCCTCAGCTGCAAAAAACACCGATGCTGGATGCTGGACATTCTGCTTTCATTGATCGAGGGTGGGGCCTGGGCGTCCGTATGTCTTAAAGCTCTCCATGGGAGCCTAAAGTGCAGTGGGGATGGAGAATCACTGGGCCCCATACTCCTTATCCAGGTGAATGTCTTCAAGTCATTGGAGAAGAAGGAAAAAACCCAGAGGCATCTTGCCCAGCCCCCAGTTCAATCCTTTCTCTTTCCTTTGTCGCCCCTGATGATGTCAGGGCCTTTGGGAGGCAGTCAGGCTTTCAGCCCCTCTGACAGGGTGGAAGTCATCCCCCAGCCTCCGCCCACTCCTGTCTGGAATGATAAGGGCCTAAGAAATCTGCCAGGAACGGTCTAGACTGCCAACCTGGAAGAATGTCCTTAAAATTCTTTCTCTCGGGCAAGAACCCTCTGGCTCCTGCCTGTGTCCGGTCTGGGGGTTCCCGGCCCTGGGTGGGTGGCGGGAGGGCCCAGCTGCGGCGGCACCCGGGGGACTCACCGATGAGGAAGTTGGCATAGGCCGCGGAGGCGCCGTACTGCTTCTCCAGGAACTTGTTGAGGAAGGTGGAGAGGCCGGCAATGACGGAGGAGAAGGTGCACTGGGCCAGGACCACCAGCATGAAGAGCGGGCTCATCAGGAGGCTCAGGAAGATGCGGGGGAACCCTGCCAACAGGCTGCCGTCAGGGCCGGGCCTCCGGGCAGCGGTCACAGGGTCCGCGACACTGGCCACTGCCCTTCCTCCCCCCGGCCCCCCTCCAGGCAGCTCCTCTCTCTTCCTCAGGGCAGAATCCAGGCCCTGAGCTGTTCAGTGGCCTGTTGGGGGCACACAGCCACTCGGACTCCACTCAACATGCTCATGGGCTGGATGAAAGGAGGACAGGCCTGGAAGAAGTCAGGCGGAGGGTGATTGTACATGATGGCTGCATCCACGGGAAGGGAGGGGAGAGGAGAACGTGGGCCAGGCGGTGTGGGTGGGGCTACCTCTATCTGAGTTTGGGTCTCCTGCTATCTGCACAGCAGCAGTCACCAGGGCCCCTGGCAGAGCCCCTCGTGAGGGGTTGTCCAATTTTAGACCACCTGCTTTTAGTGCCCCTCACCACACCTAATACCACATGGGCTGGGCTACCCCGGACCGCCCCCACCCCAAGCCAGCCCTCCCAGGGCTGCCGGGTCACTCAGTTACGTTTAATGAAATCCACCAGGGAGCTTCTTGACTTGGCCTCTTCCATCTTCCTTGCCTCATCTGCTATGGTGGGAGTCCTCTGAAGGCAGTGAAGGGGGTGAGGGTTAATGACCCAGGTTCCCTGCAGCCACCTTCCCTGGGCCCTTGATCCCTCTGGTCTTAGTGGCTCAGGGCTGGGCAGTGGTCAGCCACCCCGGGTGTGTGTGGGAGGGCGTCCAAAGCCATCATCACCTGCGTGTCGGTGAGCCCGGTGCTTGGCCACCGACCAGAACGCATCCATGCCAGGGCCTCCCAAGATGTTATTTCATACCTGGGCATATTATTTCGTATCTAACTGCTGGCTGATGCCAAAAGGCATCTGAGTGGATCTCACCCCTCGTCTGTCTGTCATGGCTACACTTCTTCCCTGTCCTCAGATTCCAGGGGCTGCGGGCTTCTGGGACGCTCTGGTCTAGAATGACCTCTGTTTTCCAGCTCTCTCTTTCAGTCTCCTCTATGGAGTCCCTTCTTTCTTCTGGGCCCAAACCTGGGTACTGTTCAAGGCTCTGACCTGGCTCTCAGCCTGCACTTTCTGTGCAGACCTCCTCAGTGAACTCGCCTTCCGCTTCTGAACTTGTTAGCTGCAGCCTGAGGCCCCCAGCTCTGAACCACCACACAGACGCAAGGCCCCTGAGCTCTGACACCATTAGGATCCCCCAGGGGACTCATCAGCAGGCCTAGGAGCTCCCATTCGTTTAGTGCTTTCTCCACGGTGGGCACCACACCCAGCGCTCTGCATGCAACCTCCCATTCCTCACAACCTCCTCCCAAGATAGGGACTCTATCTCCAGTATTTTAAAGCAGAGGAGACTTAGGAGAAAGGAAACTTGCCTAGGATCCCTCAGCTAGTTGACAAGTAGCAGAGCTGGATTCAGATTTGCCTCCCCGCAAAACCACCCCGATGTGCTGCCAACCTCTGAAATTCTTCCTCAAGACAAGTGGAGGCCCCTCTCCCCTCACCCCTCCTCCAAGCTGGGCCTAGATCTCACACACCTCATTGCCAGACGTCCAGCTCTGCCTCTGGCTCTGAACCTCGGCACAAATTTTTGCCCCTCTCAGCTCACTGCTGAGTCCTTCTCGGCACCCCCTCCGAGGACATCTACCCCTGCCCTTGCCTCATCTGTCCGGCAGCCATGGCCTCGGTCCTCAGCTGCATCCCCCATCTCTGCACTGGCCTCATCAGATCTCCAGCCTTCATTCCTTCCCAACTCTCCAACCTCAACCTTGACCCAGTTGCCATGCTGTCACCTGAGTGGGCACCATTCACTCAGAATTTCATGGGATCAGAACAAGTTTTAGACCCTTCAGTCTAAGGGCAAGGCCCCCACCCAGACTTCTCCCTGCTGTTTTCCATTCTCATCCTTCCCTGATTCCTTTCCCCAACAGATATGACTGGAAGATGCAGGGCAGGGCAGTCGGCTCAAAGTCTGCTCTACTCACAGCCCACCCTCACGCTCTGCAGCACTAGGAGTCCCCTTCTTACTCAGTCCTTTAGGATTAGACATGACCGGCCCTATCACATGCAAAAGTCAACTGCTCCAGGTCACATATGCAGCTTTTATTGGCTCTTAATTCTTTATCCCACTTTAGATGAACTCAGTGTTTCCCCAAACTACATTCCCTGGAGCCCTCCTAATCTGTGAGATGCTAACACAGTAAGGGAACACTGATGAGATACCATTTTTTGGAAATTCACAAGCACTCTCACCTCTCAAAGTTTCTCAGAAGTCCTGTATCATGAAACTTGTTTAGATTTCACCCAGAATTTACTTAACCTGCTGCAACTTCTCAGCTCTGTTTATTTTCTACCTCTACCTACTATTATGAAACTCTTATAATAGGTAGAATTGTGTGTAGAAGCTTACCTCCATTCCTCTGGGCATTGCTCGAGGAAAGAAAAAAAAGGGGAAAGAGGTAACAACCAGGCAGGCTGAGGAAATGAGCAGGCCCAGCCACCAGGCTCCTATCCATCGGGGGTCTCCGGGGCTCAAGTTAACTGCAGCTGAAGAGAAAACAAAGGACACAAGTGTTTGTTGGATGAATGCATGATCTCACCTTACTGATCGGGGGAACTTTCTTCCCATGATGCAGAAGAGGTAAGCTGTGAGCTAGCATCTTCGTCCAGTCGGCGTTCTCTCTCCAGGCCACTCTGGTCTTCTCAGAGAACGGAGGCCACTGGGAGGATCAGTGAGGTTAACTTTGGCCTGCAAGCGCCATTTCACTGGTCTATTTTCAAACCCATGCATGTATTTGTGGTTTCCAAACCTGCACTCTTAATCACTGGATGCTACTGCCTCCCAACTTTATTGATCCCTAAGAAAGGAGGCCTCATACTCCTTAGATGCTCAAAAAACCCACCACCAACAGAGTAGGCTACCAGGCCGCTGAAGGCGATGCTTTCTTCTTTGTAGTCTCCCATCCACGTCTAAGGGTCTGCCACTGTGTTTCTCTCTGTAAAGAAACTACATGGGCGTGGAAGGAGGGAGAAGATAGCAGAACAGCCCTCAGCCCAGCACTGTCCTGGGCACTGTCCCTGGTGGCCTGGGAGCTCAGTTGCTAGTCTCTTTGGGACCCAACTCAGGAAGTGCCAGTGAAGGGCAAAGCTGGCTTGACCCTGAGCAGACAGCTCTGCTAGCTTTGCCCTTTCATTTGAAGCACAGGTGGATGACCCTGAGCAGATGACCTTGTGGTCAGACAGTCCCAGGGACAGGAGTCTATGGGCTCTGGCAGCATGACTGGGTTAAGGCCTGCCCACATTCTTTGTGAGACAGGCAGGTTCTGATCTGGGTGCTGGGCACTGGGGGGTGGGGGTGGGGTGTTATTCCTGAAGGTCTGGCTTGGACCTGCCTTCCAGCCACATCTGGCCTGTGGGAACTTACATATCACCCACACACGCCCCACGCATTGCCCCCCTTGGCTCTGCCCGGATGGTTTCCTCCACTGGGAAGGCCTCTCCCATCACCACCTGTGTAATTCCACCCACATGGGATGCAGACCTCACCTCCCTGGGAGGCCCTCCCTCATCACCTCATCAAGCGCTTTGTCTGTCCCTCTGTTACACTGCCAGCCTTCCCTGCCTTGTGGGAGGCTGGGGTGTGTAAGGCAACCTCACAATAACCATATGCCCTTGCAGGGTCCATCCTGGGGTCGGCTCCCTGAACGGTTAACTCAGTACGTGTGCTCCTGTCTATGGACTGTACTTTCTCATCCTAAGACACACAGTGGCTTCATCCAGATCACTTTTTAAAGAGCTCACTCCTGTCAACCTCAATATATATCAGGCATGTTCTAAACACTGCAACATCTCTATTTCCCTATCATTAGCCCCTTTTTACAGATGAGGAAACTGAGGCACAGAAAGGATGAAGATACTTGCCCAAGATCACTCAGCCAGTAGAGGAGGTGGAACCAGGATTAGACACAGGCTCTCTACTACCTGTGCCCACATGGTTAAACATGATGTTACACCCCTCTGGATGGGAGTCATAATCCATGTGTGTACTCTATGTAGTGCTTCTTCTTTTCCCCAAAAGAGCTCTTACCAATATTTTTTTAAGCAATCAAAACCATCTTAGAATCAAAGAATCATAGAGCTCTTTTTAATACCACCACCAAGACAGGCAGCTGTGGTGGCAACACCTGAGGCCCTGCCCTAGGTCTCAAGGTTTCCCGCTGCAGAAAGTGTGTTTTCTTCAGCAGCGCATCCCCCTTGCCCACCCCCACCCGCTGGAGAGAGGAGGCCCACCTGTCCGCTGACTACAGGAGGGAGGGAGGGAGTGGGTGGCGAGGGGGCCGTGAGCATTTAAAGTTCAAGCTTCATCCTTGTCCTGACTGGCTGGGGGTCGTGGTCCTGGCACACACTCACCTGTGTCCACTCTGCCATAGTCCACAAAGATCTGCAGCATGACCGAGCCCAGCAGGTACCCGAAAGCCGGTCCGAATACAGAGATGGCAAATAAGATGGCTGGAAAGGGGAGGAGGAAAGGAGGCTGAGAGGGTGGCAGCCTCGGGCTCTTTCCCTTGCTGAGGGCTTCCTGAGACATCACCCCATCTGTCCCCTGGCCCTGACGGGTCCACACCTGTGGCATTTACTACAGGCACTCAAGATCCTGAGACGTGCAGAACCAAAGTTGTTTCTCCTCCAGCCAGATGCCAGAGAGATCCGCTTGCCGGGAGAGAAGCGGCCTCCTCGGCATTTGCAGATGCTGGCCCAGGTGCGTGTTGCTGGGCAAATCTCCTTGCAGGTACGGTGTGGCAGTGGCAGCCCTGGGGGAGCTTGTGGGCCACAGAGCCTGTGCATGTGGTCTGTCTGGTCTGGGCCGTGGGCCCTGAGGATGCTCAGTGTGGCTTGTTCTAAGGGAAGGAGTTGGTCAGTCAGATGGTCATGTGCTATCTGCTTTGCATATGCTTCTTTGAGGCCAAACTTCTCCCTAAGTGGATGGCTCAGAGAACACGTGTGCCCAGCCTGTGCCCAGACGTGACAGACGCAGTAGCTACTGCTGGTCGAGGAGCTGCCCGGTGCCTGCCCTGGGACCAAGGGCTCACATACATCACCTCAGGTACTCCCACGTCCCCAGTGCACAGAGACTGTGGGCCCCATCCTGCTGGTGAGGAGCTGGGGCCTGGGCTGGGACTCAAACCAGGTGTGTCAGATCCCCAGACCTCTGCACGCATTGGCTGGGCCACGTCAGGACCCGCCCCCACCCCGCAGCCCTCTTCAAGCCCAACTCACAGATGTACAGGGGCGAGTTGTTGGGCTCCGAGAAGTCGTCCACATAGGAGATCCCGAACGGCTGGATGGGCACCGTGCCGATGCCTGCCAGCAGCTGGGCCACAACCATCAGACCCCACATGCTGCTGGTCTCCTTCCGGGAGTCCTGGGTGCTGCTGTGGCACCTGCTGGGGGGCAGGCCCTGCCAGTGTTTCTGACAGAGCTCAGTCTGGAGACGGCTGCTGTTCCCTGCAACGAGACAGCGGGCGCCGGTCACCCCCGCCCTGGAGTCCTGGCCGCATCAGCTGGCCTCCAGACCCGGACTTTCTCCCAGGCCTTCTGGGAGCGGCTCCAGAAACAAACGTGAGAGGAGGGGAGAGGGTGGGCTCCCTGCCCTGAGGCGGCGCAGCCCTTGTCGGGTGTGAGAGCCATCCTCGTCTCCCGGGGGTCCATTCCTTCTCCTCTCTGGGTACAGGTGGGGGGCTGGGCATGGAGGGATCAGTACCTTCCTCCCTGGGAAAGAGGGAGCCAAGGTCAACACCCAGGCTTGTCGGCCTTCAGCGTCGCTGTGCGCAGCCTCAGGCTCGGGCCCCCAAGGTGTGGTTCACTTTAGCAGGACAGAGGTCATTCTGTCCCACAGAAGATGGTGTCACCCCCAGCCTGGGATGCTCTCCGGGGGTCATGACCCCCAGAGCCCTCACTCCTAGATGAACCCGGCATTGGGTCACGCTAAAGAGCCCTGTTGTCAAAGGCATTGAACGTGCTTGCCCAACCTGGCAGCTCCCAAGGATCAAGAACCTGGGAAGCTGAAGGGACTTTGAGACCCTCTGGTTTAAACCCCCCTGTTACAGATGGGGGGCGAGGCTGCACCCACAGGAGCTAGGCTGCACCTTCTGTGAGGGCCCCAGAGGCCGCAGTGTGGCCTGTGGGCACCAGTGCCTATGGCTTTGGGGACCTGGCCAGGCTGGACTGCCCCTCCCATGCCACTGTTTCCAATTTGGCTCACACTAAACAAAGAGCACTGTCCGCTCTCCGAGGCCTTGACGGCTCCTGAGGGCTCCTTTCCGTGAGATACCTTCTTTTCCAGCCTTGTAGAAGCCAATGGAAACTGCTAACATCACTGATCCCTCTCCTTGGAGTTCTGTTTCACTCTCATTTGTGGCCCTCCCAGAGGTGGCAGAGCTCTGAGCTGGGTGGGCCTCAGAGTCCCACAGAGAGGAAAAGTGAGGGCCGTGGACGGGATCTGTCCATCACACTGGACTCTGCCCAGTGCTGTTGAGCTCAGGGCTACCCTGGACGGTGGGGCTGGGGAGGGATCTGCCCTCCTATCGTCCCCTCACCTCCCGCAGACACACATGCTTGTCCATCCTGGCCCCAGCATCTCCTGTCCTCTATACTAGTGCCTGTGTAGGACATGTTTAAAAACCACTGGCCTAGGGGGCTCCCCCATCGATCAGGGGGCCCCTTGGCAAAGGGGGGCAAGACGCCTGTCTGGTCGAGGTCATCCAGACCTGACACCAGCCGTGTGCAGGGGAGCTGTGTGCACCCAGGCCAACGGCCAGCCCCAGACGTTTGGGAGTGTCCCTCTGTACCTTCACCCTCCCACTCCACACCCGCTGTCCCACCTTTCAATTCAGGGTTTGGATAGAGAGTGGTCTAACCACATGGGTAAATAGGAGGCGCCTCTTAGAATTAGAGTGGGGAGGTAGCCTTACTGACATGCAGAGACAGCTGTAACATCTTGTAGAGTCAAAAAATAACTAGTAGGGCTTCCCTGGTGGCACAGTGGTAGAGAGTCCGCCTGCCGATGCAGGGGACGTGGGTTCGTGCCCCGGTCTGGGAAGATCCCACGTGCCGCGGAGCGGCTGGGCCCGTGAGCCATGGCCGCTGCGCCTGCGCGTCTGGAGCCTGTGCTCCGCAACGGGAGAGGCCACAACAGTGAGAGGCCCGCGTACCGCAAAACAAACAAACAAACAAAAACTAGTAGTTTGGAGAAGAATATGATCCCTAATTTATAAAATGTATGCGGCCTAATGGAATATGCAGAGAAAAACTCTGGAAGACCATGGTTCTCTCAGGGTGATGGGATTGTGATGATCTTTGTGTGTGTGTGTGCTTGCCTCAGTGTACTTTCTAATTTTTCTATAATGAACATAAGATACTTTTGAAATAAAGCAACAGTGAAAGCTTTTAAATTAAAAATATTTTTTTCATAAAAATATATAGCCAGAATGTAACAATGTCTCTCCCACTTCTTATTTCTTTGTTCCACAGCCATTGCCCTAGGCCTGCAAAAGTCAGGCCCATCACACTAGGGCTGAGTTTCTCTGCCCACCACCCACCTTCCCTGACGCCTCTCCTTGCTTGTGTTTTGGGCCTTTCTCTGACTTACACGCTTTACTGTAGAGATCCAAGTTCCAGCGCCAGAATTTTTAAGCTTCTATTTACTGCACAGGCAGACACTGCCAAGGCTGTGACGTACATTTTGTCCTGTTCACAGGGGTTATTGGCCCACATAAGTGGCTGATCTGGGGCAGAGCTGGTATTTGAACCCATATGTGCCTGACTCAAAGTCCTGAATGAAATCAAATCTGAAATGGCAGTTTTGAAATGACACAACACACATTTTTCAGGGATGGAGGAGCCAGGCCTGGGGAGATTCCTCTACCCATCCCTAGTTACATTCAAACACATGAGCCCTCTGACCTCTGCAAGCGGCTGGGAACTTCCTCCCAGGTAGAGGTATCCTGGAAAGGGGCTGGCTGCTGGGAGTTTTGCTGAAATCCGAGACAAAGAGATGAAACAAACACATGGTATAAAGAGTCAAGAAATTGGCTTTGGTGAAATAAGCCAGACACAGAAAGACAAATACTGTATGATCTCACTTATATGTGGAATCTAAAACAGTCAAACACAAAGAAGCAGAGAGTAGAATGGGGATCGCCAGGGGCTTGGGGGAGGGGTAAATGGGGAGGTGATGGTCAAGGGTATAAGGTTTCAGTTATGTCAGGTAAGTTCTGGAGATCTACTAGACCAGCATAGCGCCTCTAGATAACAATAATGCACTGTATACTCAAAATTTACTAAGAGGGTAGAACTTAAGTGTTCTTAACACACACACACACAACAGTAATGACGGGGCAGGAGGAAACTTCGGGACGTGATGGATATGTCTGCAGCTTTGATGGTGGTGACGGTTTCATGGGTATATTCATCCTCAAATTCATTAAGTTTTATACATTACTATGTACAGCTTTTTACATGTCAATCATATCTCAATAGAGGTTTTGTTTTTAAAGAAGGAAAAACTGGTTTTAGCCCCAGGTAGCTGTGTGATCTTGAGCAAGTTTCTGAACCTCTCTGAGCCTCAGTCTCCCTTTAGGCAGAGACCATAAGGTGGCCGGATAGGGAGAGTCCCTATGGGTCATTAAAGTGCTAGAAGGCTATGGTTCCAGAAAGGGGAGCAGGCATGAAAAGTTGGACCCGCTGGTTAGTCAGCATGGCTGATGGCTGTGCCTGCCCCTTTATAGGAAGGCTGGTGTGCCTCAGTGATGCTGCAAGGGCCTGATTCTCAGGATCGTCACTTTAGTCTGGAAGCACAAAGCTGTGAAATGTTCCTGCTGAGAAAGAGCCACTCCTCACCACACTCAGGAACCCTCCCACCAACACTGCCCCCTGTCCAACACTCAGAGACGGGGCTGTGGTGCTGGCAGACTCACGCCCATCCCCAGGGGGAGGCCCAGGTGGCTGTGGGCTGGCAAGGCCCATAGATGTTGGAGCGGCTGGACTGGGAGCCTGGGACCTGGGTTCTAGTCCTGGATCTGACTCCTCACGTCAGTGACCTTGACTTTGAGAGACCTCAGAGGATTCTGGGGAAGGGGCCATGCACTGCAGAGGGTGGGCGGTAGCCGGAGGGCCAGGCTCACAGCACACTCCGTGCCCTCAGTGCGGCAGCCACACGGACGCCCCAGTGGGTGAGCGTTTACACGCTGTGGGCTGTGCTAGTCTTTAGAAAAAGACCCCACTACCCTTCTCAAGACCATATGGGCAGGTTCAGGAATGAGGGCAGAGCTGGTTGCCTGGCCCTGGCCACCCTCTGACCCGTGCTACCAACTGGCCAGGTGCAGCTGTGTGGTCACTCAAACGGTTGGCCACTCGCCCTGCTCACCTCCCTCCGCCAACTTTGACTGAGGTGACACACATCCAAAGGGCTCGTAAATTAAAAAGCTGCTCAAATGGGCAAGTTCTCAAATGGGCATTTCTTTTCAGAAGATTCAAACAAATTTCGAGTAGATTTTGTATGAGGAAACGAGCACAGCTTGGAGTTCCCTAAAACCGTGGGCTGCTGTCACTTGCAAAGGTGTTTGGCTGAGCTGCCTGTCTCTGTCTAGGTGTGACAGCAGCTCCCTGTCACATGTTGTCTTGTGGGCTATGGGGTGGCAGGGCCAGGTCTCCCTTAAGTGCAAGGGTGGAGTAAAGATCCCCCAAAGGCAAATGACCACACTGGGAAAGAGGTGCAAAGAATTGGCCCCTGCTCCCAGGGCAGCCACTGAAGGACCACACCCAGGCCCGTCAGCTCCCATGGACGATGCCTGCCTCACAGGGAAAAGCTGGGATGCTAAGACCTGAAAAGACACCTGGACACACCTTCCAAAGCCTTCTGTCTGCTGTGCTACACACATCATCAAAGAAGCAACCGCAATGTTGCCAAAATATTGCTCAAATCAAAACCACAGTGAGATACCATTTCATACCCTTCAAAAAACAGAAAACAAGTGTTGGGTAAGATGTAGAGAAATTAGAACCCTTGTGCATTGCTGGTAAGAATGTAAAATAGTGCAGCCACTGTGGAAAACAGTATGGAAGCTCTTCAAAAAAAATTAAACATAGAACTACCATATTATCCAGCATGTACACTCCTGGGTATTTACCCAAAAGAATTCAAAGCCGGGACTTGAACAGATATTCATACACTGGCGTTCATAGCCAGATCATTCACAATAGCCAAAAGGTGGAAACAACCCAAATGTCCCTCAGATGAATGGTTAAACATAATGTGATACACACATGCAATGGAATATTACTGAGCCTTAAAAAGGAAGGCTTAATACACATGCTACATACAAAATGAATGAACCTTGAAGATATTATGCTAACAGAAACAAGTCAGACACAAAAGTACAACCATTGCATGATTCCATTTATATGAGGAACCTAGAATAGACAAATTCATAGAGACAGAAAGCAGA